CTCTCTCTCTCTCTCTGCCTCTCTCTCTCTCTCTCTCTCTCTCATTCAGCTCAGCTCCAAAAATGAACTGTTACAATTATACACTTATTTTCACATAGCTATGAGAAGCGTTAAACATGGGCGCGCGTGCAGTTGCTGTACTGTATTAAAGCTTTAATCAGGAGAAAACTGTATATTAAATGCTAACATAAGCAGTAGCATTTTCAAATAACAGCGTATCTAGAAGTATGAAACAACAACAAGCAAAAAACATAGGCCTACCCTTAAAAGCCGTGCTTGCACAGGTTCTGCACGATCCTCTTCAATAATATCATCTGCTTCTCAATCGGGCTCAAACTGATAAGCTATATTAACGATGCCTTGTTTACAATACAACCGGAGCACATGCCGCTGAGGTGAGGGGCGGGACGCTTAGATGCGCACTAGACGCACACTAGAGGCGGTTTAGCCAATCCCAACACACTGGGCTAGCTAACCAATCAGAGCCCATCGCCTATTTCTGAGGGAGGGGCTTCATAAAAGAAAGAAATGATCAGCGTGTTTCTCAGAGAAGGGACAGAGTGGTGTGGAATAAAGGTAAATTATGTGAAAAAATTTGTTTTTTTAAAAACTAAGCATTAACACATGTTAGACTGCACCCCATAAACACAATCAAGCCTAGAAAAAAAACACTGAACCACCCCTTTAAGGTAATGTGCCTCGAAATGTTTGTCTGCGCAAATAATTTCATTCCAGACTCCTTTGTGAATGTCATGTCATTATAGTGCTCAGCGATTTAACCATATTTGTGTGCGTACGTTATCTAAGTATTTTAATTGATTAGCAGCACGCTTGTGAGATTAGTTCATGCCGCTATCCGTTCGGTAGCTCTGAAACACTGTGCCGTTTCTTCCCACTTTCGTTTCATTTGGCTTCCCATATGTACGGCTGAACACCGGTTCTCTCACTTTGTCATGTTGCTTCTACCGGCTGTTTATTGCAGAGAGAAGTATACGCAACACCCTCTTCTGGAGACAGGAATATGCAGCTCATTTGCATTTAAAGTGAAGCACACCCAAACAGCTCTTAAAAAAAAATGGAAAAAAAAAACACCCCAAAAATGACATTTTCCAGCTGTTATAATAAATTATCTGTGGGGTATTTTGAGCTGAAACTTCACAGACACATTATGGGGACACCCAAGACCAATATAACATCTTGTAAAAAGGGGCATAAAATGTGTCCTTTAAAACTTAAACCACTTACCAGTATGCAACCTTATATGTGTAGAGTACTATATATAAAACCCACAAAACCAGCCAACACAAAACCAATAATTATTATCCAGAATTGTGAGTGATTATAAACTAAATAGTGTTTGGCTAAATAAATATTATTGTCTTACCTCAGTGTTTCTAGTTGGCAGTAATAATTCTCCAGCCCACCAGAGAGCATCTGTACTCCTGAATCTTCTACTTTATTTCCAGACAGATCCAGCTCTCTCAGGTGTGAGGGGTTTGATGTCAGAGCTGAAGCCAGAGCAGCACAACCTTCATCTGTGACACCACAATTCACCAACCTACAGAAAAACAAAGCACAGTCTACAATTGTTCAGTTCAAGACACAGACCTGCGATGCTGACCTCCTAGAATAACTTAAAATAAAAATCACAATTAAAATCTTACTTAAATGTTGCAAGTTTAGATAGATGACTCTCTGGTCCAGCAAAAAGAAGCTTGACTCCAGAATCTCCTAGTTTATTTTCAGACAGATCCAGCTCTCTCAAATTTGAGAAGTTTAATATCAGAGGAGAGGCCAGTGAAACACAATCTTCATCTGTGAGATCACAGTCATTCAATCTGGAGAGAGAAAAATTACACTTTTCCTTTGCTCAGCATGACAAACACATCCTTATATTTGTAGACAGTATTCCATAAGGACTAAGGATAAGCTTCCTTATTCCTTAGAGTTAAGAAGGAATATCCTGATCGAAGTGGGATTACAGTCTAACATTGTGCATGCTTAGGTGTCACAATCATAAAAAAAAAAAGTGTACTAAAACTAAAAAATATGTCTTTTGAGACCCAATTCAGTTGCAAGACTCAAACAATGATCTTACTTCAATGTCTCCAGTTTACAGTAAGGATTCTCCAGTGCATCGGAGAGTAGCTTTATTCCTAAATTTCCAAGTTTATTCCCAGACAGATCCAGGTTTCTAAAGTGTGTGGGGTTTGATCTCAGAGCTGATACCAGTGCAACACAGCCGTTATCTGTAATATCACAACTCACCAACCTGCAGAGAAAACAATAACACATTGTTCACTTTTTCACTGTTGTCTTTCACAGATTAAAGTTGCTTTACTCTAACTACAATACTGAATGTGACTAGCTTCTATTTGACACTCAAATTCATCTTACTTGAGTGTTCCAAGTTTACAGTAAGGGATCTCCAGTGCAGCAGAGAGCATCTGTACTCCAAAGTCTCCTACTTTATTTCCAGACAGATCCAGCTCTATCAGGTGTGAGGGGTTTGATCTCAGAGCTGAGGCAAGAGCTGCACAACCTTCCTCTGTGATACCACAATCTTTTAATCTAAAGAACAGCAACATGCCATCACTCCATTTAGGACACACAGCTAATTTCAGAAGATTTTGAAGAAACCACTCATTAGTATGTCACTATAGTTTATAAAACATATTGTAAGAATTTACCATACACTCTAAAAAATGCTGGGTTGAAAAGGGACAAACCCAGCTATTGGGTGGTTTTGACCCAGCGGTTGGGTTCAAACTTCAAAACAACCCAACCGCTGGGTCAAAACAACCCAATAGCTGGGTTTGTCCCTTTTTAACCCAGCACAGGGTTATACTTAACCCAGCATTTTTTAGAGTGTATCATTATTATAACTTAAAATTCGTGGTATTAATCAAATTATTTTAATAATTATTAAAATGTGTTAATTAAATAGGCCTACTACTACCACTAGGCTACTACTAATAAATCACTACTTTTTTATTTTATATCAACCATCTTTTTTCTTAATCATTTTATTGTTATGAATTTCCCCATCATTCACGTCAAAGACAACTGTTTTTGAGTGAGTCATTTAATCATTTAACCGATTCACTTTTATTTCGAGTCTTTCCGGTTGGGTTCAAACTTCAAAACACCCCAACCGCTGGGTCAAAACAACCCAATAGCTGGGTTTGTCCCTTTTTAACCCAGCACTGGGCTATATTTAACTCAGCATTTTTTAGAGTGTACAAGGACCACAATCTAGATATTATAAAAATAAAAAAATAAAATGTTGATGCTAGTATAGATTAATTTCATCACTCAAAGTGATGATCTTACTTCAATGTTTCCAGGTAAAATCCTACAATGTGATTTTCTGGATTTTTTTTTTTTTTCTCATTTTGTCTCTCATAGTTGAGGTATACCTATGATGAAAATTACAGGCCTCTCTCATCTTTTTAAGTGGGAGAACTTGCACAATTGGTGGCTGACTAAATACTTTTTCCCCCCACTGTATATATTATTATTATTATTTTTTTTTTTTTAGATTTTCTTGGATTTTTTTTTTTTCCATCTCAAGTTTGCAACTTCAGTTCATGATCTTACTTCAACGCTTCCAGTTTCAAGCAAGGTTTCCCCATTACAGCAAAGAGCAGCATTGTATGTAAATAACTTAAGCTATTCTCAGACAGATCCAGCTCTCTCAGGTGTGAGGAGTTTGATCCCAGAGCTGAAGCCAGTGCAGCACAACCTCCCTCTGTTAAACCACAACTCAACAACCTGCAGAGAAAAAAATAAAAATAAGAAACAGTACATGTTGCTACAGGGTCATAATCAAAAAATAGGCATCATGTTTATATATTGACATTAGAATGATATAGGGTTTCTCAAAGGTTGAACATTTTTGTTTAAATTATTACACGTGGCCCACCAAATGTTGAATATGTCATCACATCCTTGCTTTTTAGTTCAAGATATCATGGGCAGTGCAGGGGTGAGTTTCTGGGTTTAAGTCTTCAGTGATTTTGTTTGTTTGTTTTTCATTTTTTTGATACTCAAAATCTTTAAAAAATCTTACTTTAATTTCCCCAGTTTGCATGAAGGATTCTTCAGTCCAGCAGAGAGCATTATCATTTCTAAATCATTTAAGCTATTCTGTGACAGGTCCAGTTCTCTCAGGTGTGAGGTGTTTGATGCCAGAGCTGAAGCCAGAGCAGTACAACCTTCATTTGTTACACCACAACCAATCAACCTGCAGAGAGTAAAATTACATGTTCCTCATTGTCACTTCCATATCAGATAAAACAATAACCTTACACAACATTTTAGTATATGTTCCCATAGATGTAACTATATTCTTAACAACGGTCAGAAATCCCTTTACAAGATTAATGCATATTTCATTGTAGTGGTTAACCATTATATATCATCATTGTCCATTAGCTTTCCTGTTTTGTGCATTTTATTATTATAATTTTTTTTGATGGTGATGAGTTGTTTTTAACAATTTTTTTCTTTGTGGAAAAAAATACAGGATAATAAAATTGTAGAACTGAATCAAGTTGCTATATAAATCTGAATTTAAGTTAAAATATTTTTATTTCAGTACATAGAATAAATAAAAAATTTTTTTTTTTAAACAATTAAATATAAAAATTATTAGTGCTGGGCAATGATTAATCAAGTTGTTGTGCACATAATATATGTGTGTGCACTGTCTGTGTATATTTATTATGTATATGTAAACACACACACATGTATATATTTAAGAAAATTTTTATGTTTATATATTAAATATATTTATGTATAATATAAACGATATGAATATAAATACATACATGTAAATATTTTCAAAATATATGTGCTTTTATATATAGATAATAAATATACGCAGTATACACATTTTGGATGCGATTAATCGCGATTAATCGTTGCCCAGCACTAATAAAAATTTATTTCAGCAGTGTTGTGCATGTGTTATTTACTATCTTTAAATTAAAATGAGTGATATCACATCTGCTTTATATTTACAATATATCCGTCACCATGATCTCTAAAATATCAGCTAACAACAATTTCACTGTAGTTTGGCCACACAAACAAACAAATACATTTTATTATTTTTGAGAACCAGATTATTTGCAACAATAATTCAACGTATCACGGTTTTAAAGATTTTAGTGGTCTTACTTAAGTGTTCCAAGTTCAGACAAATTATTTGCGAGTCCAGCGGAAAGCAACATCACTCCTAAATCTTCTAGTTTATTTCCAGACAGATCAAGTTCTCTCAGATGTGAGAGGTTTGATGCCAGAGCAGAAGCTAGAGCACCACAACCTTCATATGTGATCCCACAATCATTTAACCTGCAAAACAAAAATATCACACGATTGAACCTTCAGGGACTGCAGTACAACCTGACATCTAGAACTGATAAAGTTGGCATTTCAAGGTCATTTGACTTCAAAAGACAGAGAGAGAACCTGATGATTTACCTCAATGTTTCCAGTTTACAACAAGGACTCGCCATTGCACCAGAGAGCAGATTTACTCCTGTGAATCCTAGATAACCCGTCAGATCCATTTGTGTCAGTTATGAAGGCTTTGAGAAATCACTGATAACACACCTCTCTGAAGGAAGTTCGACCCACTTGTCAAAAGTGACACTCTTGATTAAACACTCAAATGCATGGAACCAACAACAACAAGGTGTCAGTTATTATGTACCCTATTCATGAGTGCAATTACGCAGCTGTAAACCATTACTGATATAGCTAGTCTACATAGAATGATGCTTAGTGTAACAATGTCTTAAAACAGCCAATATTTAAAGTAAGTAAAATGTTTCAGCGATTTATATAAACGTAACCCTTTAAAGAGTCACGTTTAATTAAATTCATCTGTAACAAAAAACAGACGATCCTCTGAACTAAGTTTCGTTTTCGATTACTGTTCGTTTACAAGAGGCTGGTATCATTTTCCTCTTGCAAGTTGCCCCACATACCTCAGTTTGGTCTAAATAAAGATTACATGCATGCAGTGCATGCAGAAATACATACGTTTACAGGCAATTCCACAGGATAATGACACACGTAGTTGCCAGCTGTTGGGCAGGCTATATCACGAGTTACCCAATGCCAATATTGTGCTATTCACCTTGATTCCTGTAGGAGGCGTTGTTTTGTTCGTTCTAGAGTGCGGCAGAAGACAAGGATTTCCAAAATTCATATAACAAATTTACAACTATTGCTGTGCATCTGTCAAATCACACAGTTTATATTAATAAACAGAATGTTGATATAATGTCAAAATCATTTCACAATTCAAATAAATCAACGTGATTCATAATTTTAAACATTGCTGATTACATAATCTAACTAAATATTCTAAATAACTAAATAACTTTTTTTGTCTGTTGTGCAGGTATTGCTCACAGGGATTCTGTCTCTGAAGAGCTAAAGAACGAGGTGAGAGTGCTGGATTTGGACACTTTGACTATGAAAAGAAGGGGGGATTTTCAACATATTTTATGCATACCAAGTCTTTTCTATAGGTTTTATTCAGTGGACTACACTGCAATATGTTGTGCTTTCTCTTCAAATAATTTACTGTAAGTGGTTTTCCAAAAGATTTGTAAACAGTTCTCAGTCATTTGAAATTAAAGCAGAAATGTAAAAGATGTCAAAGTCACAATGTCGAAGAAAAAAATATACACATTTTAAATAAACTGTACAATCATAATACATTTAACAATAAACAACCATTTAATCATTAGCAGCCTTTTGTTCATTATAATTTAAATTCACTATACTTGCACTATGTCTAAAATAGTCTGAATGAATGGCAGATGAAAATGTAATTATTTATCTTTTTTTAATATAATACATTTTTAACAAAGAACTGTGTATATGTATACATATGTTTAAATCAGTTTTTATATTAATGTATTATTTAATGCAAATAATGTATTTAGTGCAATGAGTCACATGACTTAAAAAGTATATTTGTCTGAATTTAAGGAGGATTACTATGAGTCCTGTTCATGATCTGCTTTCTCTTTGAATTTATGTAACTTGAAAAAACCAAAGACACACACAATAACATTTAGATTAAATGAAAATATGGTTCAACTGCCAATAGAAAAGTAAAATAAACATTTATATTTAATTTAAAAGTTTGCATCTTTTACTTTTCTATCCATAGCAACATGTGGCAAGGGTGGATTCTCTGTGAGGATTGAAGACAGAGCCGCTAAACCCACATCTGTGATGTCACAATCATACAGCCTGCAGAGAGAACACATTTTCAGATCCACTCATCTTTTAGGAACTTTATTACCAGAGTGAAAGTACATAGATGGCTTGTTTGGGATTGAATGATCATCAGTTTGACTGTGATGTTGAGCAAGCAAAATGTGGTAAATATCCTCATACCTCAGTGTCTCCAGTTCACAGACAGGATTCTTCAATGCGACAGAAAGATGGTTCACTCCTGTGTTTGTAACTTTGTGGTCACACATATACAATATTTTTAAATGTGAGAGGTATGATGTCAAAGCTAAAGCCAGAGCTTCACAACCCTCGTCTGTGATGGCACAGTCAATCAGCCGAGAGAAGGAAAAAAAAAAGTAACACTTAATTTTCACAGAATGTCAGATATTTAAAACGGATTTTATTACCTTACAAATAGCATACTAATTTATATGAATATATATGTAAAAAACTGTATTCATTTTGTCTAAATCAAAAGAGTCCACACAGGATATGTCTTATGGATACAGTTAGGTCCATATATATTTGGACACAGGCACAATGTTTATTATTTTAGCGGCTGTAACATATTCAAGTTACAGTTATATAATGAATATGGGCTTAAAGTGCACACCCTGATCTTTAATTTGAGGATATTCACATCAAAATTGAAGGAAAGGTTAAGAAATTACAGCTCTTTTATATGTACCTCTCTCTTTTTCAAGGGACTATAAGTAATTGGACAACTGACTCAAAAGCAGTTTCATGGACAGATGTGGGCCATTCCTTTGTTATTTCTACATCAATTAGCAGGTAAAAGTTCTGGAGTTGATTCTAAGTGTGCCATTTGCATTTGAAAGCTGTTGCTGTGAACCCACATCATGCGGTCAAAGAAGCTCTCCATACAAGTGACGGTAAACAGACGATTGTTAGGCTTCAAAAACAAAACAAATCCATTAGAGAGATAGCAGGAACATTAGGAGTGGCCAAATCAACAGTTTGGTACATTCTGAGAAAAAAAGAACGCACAGGTGAGCTCAGCAACATAAAAAGGCCTCAAGTGAAGAACACTCTCCAAAAGGTGCACTGTATTACTGGTGATTACTGATGGCGTGACGACAGAAGCAGCTGGATGAATTCTGAAGTGTATAGGGATATACTGTCTGCCCAGATTCAGTCAAATGCAGCAAAGTTGATTGGAAAGTGCTTCATAGTACAAGTGGACAATGACCCAAAACATACTGCAAAAGCAACCCAGGAGTTTTTGAAGGTAAGAAAGATGAATAATCTGCAATCTCCTGATCTCAACCTGATTGAGCATGCATTTCACTTGCTGAAGACAAAACTAAAGGCAGAAGGACCCACACACAAACAACAACTGAGGTCAGCTGCAGTAAAGGCCTGGCAAAGCATCACAAAGGAGGAAACCCAGTCTCTGGGGATGTCCATGAGTTCCAAACTTAAGGCAATCATTGTCTGCAAAGGATTCTCAAAAAAATATTAAAAAATAACATTTTATTTATGATTATATTTATTTGTCCAATTACATTTGAGCCCCTGAAAATGGGGGGAATGTGTATAAAAATGGTTGTAATTTCTAAGCATTTTATTTAATATTTTTGATTAACCCCTTGAATTAAAGCTTAAAGTCTGCACCTTAATTTCATCTTGATTGTTTCATTTTAATTCTGGTGGCATACAGAGCCGAAATTATGAAAATTGTGTAATATATATATGGACCTAACTGTATGAATGACACGTAAAATGATAAAACTGTTTTCAGTTTTTATAACCAATTCTTACCATGTGTTTCCAGATCCCTACTATCACTACCACTCGCAAACCATGCGTCACACACTGTAGGCAGCGCAATCCTAACAACCTGCGCACTTTGCCTATGTCTACTAATACACTACTTTCTTTTTCTATTGGTCTCTGGAATTGCCAGTCTGCTGTAAACAAAGCAGATTTTATTACTTCTATTACAAGTCATTCAAGACTAAACCTCATGGCCCTGACAGAGACGTGGATCAAACCAGAGGACAATGCTACACCTGCAGCACTCTCCAATAATTTCTCTTTTCTCACTCCCCCCATCTGACTGGAAGAGGTGGAGGTACTGGTCTGCTTATCTCTAATGATTGGAAAT